ATATATATATATATATATTTACCTAAATGACATCATATTGATAATTTTAGGGTAGTTTCAGATGTATGGGCATATTTACTGTTTTTTCTTTTCCCTGTAACATTATATTTGTTTCGTTCGTATAAATTAAACTTAGGATTTACTACCTCCAAAATCAAAATGGATTGTCATGCTTAAAGATGAATTTTTGTTCAGTGGTACATGACTTAGTATTTTAGACATGTGTTGCCATCACCACTACCACCGTCACTAAAAGAAAAAAAGAGAAAGAAAATGACATAGGAAGTTCTTAACAGTGGTGCTCTCCGATACAAGTCAAACATATTGTGCAGAAAACTAATAAAAGGTATGCCCCGCCCCTCCCCACAAATAACCCATGTCACATAAATTTGGAAAATGCTGAGTTAGACAACAACATCAAACCGATTTCTTGCGGGACTTCTCGAACGAACGTCTCTCATTGCTTTTGAAGCTCCAGGAGGGAGATAAGGGCATGAGCATTTCCTAGACTTCCTGACCTTGGGATGTTTTACTTTCTCTGGAGTATCTTGGGACACCAGTGTCCCACCCAATATTTTGTTCTGGCTAGTGGTTTGGCATCCTGGTGGGAACACAGTCCTCCTTGGTCCTTCAGCACTGACCTGGAAGTCCTGTGTTTGCAGACTGCCGACTCCACATCTGCTTGTACTACCGGGAGATCCTTGTGAAAGAAGTGACCACGGCCAGCCCCGAAGGCTGTCGGATCTCCCATGGGCACACCTATGATGCGAGTAACCTGGACCAGGTCCTCTTCCCTTACCCAGAGGACAACGGCCAGAGGAAAAACATCGAGAAGCTGCTGAGCCACCTGGAAAGGGGCGTGGTCCTCTGGATGGCTCCGGATGGGCTCTATGCTAAACGGCTATGCCAGAGCAGGATCTACTGGGATGGGCCCTTGGCACTATGCGGCGACCGGCCCAACAAGCTGGAGAGAGACCAGACCTGCAAGCTCTTTGACACACAGCAGTTTTTATCAGGTAATGTACCCAATTATTGGTCAGAATGGAGTGCCCCATACCTGTTAGCCTTACTGAGAGAGGATGAAGGTGGTGACGGTATAGCTGCCATAGTGGTCAAAAACAGAAGGCCACTTCCACCCGGGACAGAGGTCTTCCTTCTGTGACCCTCTGAATCCACGAGGCGTAGTCCCAGAATAGGTTTCTTGTTTGGTTCACATCTCACCTCTCCTTTTACTGCCACTCCTGTGGACAGCTGAGAGGTGTGAAGAGGCGGGAGATTGCTCAGGGGGCTGTGGTTCAGGCTGATGACTTGAAATTCTAGAATTCAACAGTCTACCTGGTAATAAGGTTCACATTTTATTGGCAGTGTGATCTCCACAAGCATGTCTGTTGATGTTTTAGCTCTTTTAAGGTTCTTAGGAAAACTGCAAATGTTAGAAGTATATTGTTAACATTCTTGGTTGTGAGATGTGGCATCCCTTATGCAGCCCTCCAGCGGGTGGGACCAAGGATAGTGTGTTGAACTGATTTTGCAAAAGGGAAATTATGAGAAGCCTGTGAGCTATCTCTATGATATGTGTGTTTCAAATCATATTTTCCAGAACCAGTAAGTTTTCTTTTCCTAATTTTGATTTCATGACAATTAAATCAGCCCGGGGCTGGCTTTTATGAAACCACTGACCACGTTATTGTTGAAGCTTCACCCACAGTGTTCATTTAACTGTCTACATTAGCACTGGCTCTTTTGGAGGAGAAGGCTATTCTAACCTGCTCCTTAACAGCCAATCTCCCTCCACCTTGTCCTCACCTGTTCTATTGTAAGTGTCCCCTTCAGAGACACCCAGTGGCTTTGGCTCTTCACGTGTCTGCCCTTTCTGCAAAAGTGCATCTTGGTTCAGTTCATTTAAAATAAAAGTAAGCAGTATGTCTGTGCTCTGCCTCCATTGACATATGCTCAGCCCTTTGGATGTGAGTTGCCCAGGTCCTCTTAAGCTCATTAAAATTCTATTTGGTGCCCTCAAACAAATATCTCCCTAGAAATACTAAGCCTCCCACAGAGGTGTGACAAGAAGAAGAGGAAGAGCCTAGTCTCTGGTGGCCCAAGGCAGCCTCATGGTTAGAAAGGCACAAGGGTCTGAATGCCCCTCTCTCCCTGAGCTGCAGAATTGCCTCTGAGCCTGTGCTGTGACTGTTCTGTCTTTCCTGGGGGCCAGCATGGTGATCGTGGGGGGGCCTGAGGAAGAGCCAAGAGTGGATGAGGGGCGCCTTCTTTGTACCTTCCATGCTGCAGTGAGGTCTGAGAGAGCCCACCAGGTTTGCGTCTCCTCAGAGATTGTGAATCTTCGTCTCTTTGGATCCAGAAGCCACCTCAGGGCTTTAATTAAGGCATCCAGGGACATGGCCCTTGTTGCCCGGAGTTTCTCTCAGCATGCATGTATTAGGGAAGGTAGGCTCCTCCCAGGCTAACGAGGCTGCAAGTTGGGCTTGGAGTCACAATGAACTGAGAGGTGGATGAGGCAAGAAGCGGACCAGCGGCAGCATCCTTGGGTCGTGGGCTCACTTGCCTAGAATTTAGTATTTATCTGTGAGCCACAGTTGTTTGTGTTTTCTGTTTTTCCCCTTCTTCTGTAACCAAGAGGTGTGCCTTTTGTCCACAGCAGCCCCTTATCTTGAAGTGTTCACTGAGGGGCGTGAAAGATTGTGACCTTACAAACTGAAGCTGTGCAGAGCAGCTCCTGCACAACCACTGGCCAGAGGATGTGACCCCACAGCACATCCTCTTGGTGCCAAGCCCTGGAGGCAGGACTGTTTCAGAGAACTGTGTCATGTCCCACTCTGAGGAGCTTGTGTGGGTGTAGTCTCAGACCTCCTCAGTGTGAACGCCTTTTATATGTTGGGTTTGAATTGAATTCTGGAAGAAAAAAAAGCAGGAAGTCAAGTAGTGTAGTGAGTTAGCTAGAAACTTTTCTTCAGTTGAAGAGAACAGTGGAAATCTTTGATATACACCCATTCAGGATTTGCAGTCAATAGGGACAGTCCCCACAGGCAAAGCCTGAGGGTGTGGATCTGATAAAGATGCAGCCAAGTGCTGTTCTGCAGAAGCAGCAGAGACTGTGTAAGCACAGTTCCTTTGCAGGCATGACATCTGACTCTAGTGGAAAGAATGGGAGCAGCTAGAGGCCTAGAGTCATCTTGAATATGGGTGAGGGGACATGGGTCAGTGTCAGGGGTTGAACCGTGTCTTTCCAGCAGTGCTCTGGTCTCTGTTTTGATCTTGAAGGTATGAGGAGTGGCTTTAGCCTATACACATCCACAAAAGTGGGGGCCCCTAGTGTTTCATTGCTACTCTTCTCATCTCAAATCACCTGTCCCAGAAGACAGGCAAGAAGTCAGCTCAAAGTCACCCAGTTTGGTCCTAGTGCCAACTGGGATGCAGCTGCCCATAACCGGTGTTCGGTCTCCAAGATAATGTCCAACATTTCCTGTGGTGCCCGAGTCACATAGCAGACCTGGGTACCATAGATAGCAGACTATGAGGTCTCAGCAGTTTTGAGGTGAGGTTCTTTTTTTTAAGTAATCTTGGAACAAGTCAGAAAATTCTGATTTTTTAAAATTCCTCCTTTTTATAAACTATTATTTTGCCTCCACTTGGCTACATTTCTTTCCTTTTTCTTCCTCCTTCACCCCCTTCCACCACCTTTTGCACCCTGTGGGCCCAGTGCTGCAAAGCAAGGCCCATAATCTGCATGCAGGGCTTATTCCCCTGGAAGAATCACGCGTAACCTGGAGCCTTCTGGGACAAACACACACAGGAATGTGGACAGCTGATTCCATACCTGGGATCTGAAGTTAAGGACCCACTCAGAGAAATAAAGAGTTTTTATTCTTATTTTAGTCTTCTGAATCATCAGAGAGTAGTTGCTTCCTGCCTTAACATTCTGTGCTCAGTGATGAGTGTTTCTAAGCATAGTTTTTCTTTTCCTTTTCTTGTGTGGTTTTTCCAGAGCTGCAAGCGTTTGCTCACCATGGCCGCCCACTGCCAAGATTCCAGGTAACGCTGTGCTTTGGGGAAGAGTTTCCAGACCCTCAGAGGCAAAGGAAGCTCATCACTGCTCACGTGAGTATTTAGTCACATTCAAATGACTGAGTGTTTCTCTGTCTTCATCAAGGGCAGGGCCCCATTCAGAGAAGACTCAGATGAAAAGTAACTGTTGGGTGACCTGGGAAAGTAGTGAGGAGGAGGCGTGGTTCAGTGGGCTCTGCAGGGTGTGCAGCCAGAAACTCTGTCCAGTGGATCCTCACATGATGGAGAAACTGCCCCCAAATGGGAAGCTGTTCACTGACGTGTGTATTTTGTAGATCTCCTCCAGATTTTCCTCAAACCCTCTTTTATTTCTGGATTTTTAGAAATTATTTAATTACTGGAAACCAAGGGTCATGTGTTATTTGAAGAAAGGTAAATCTTTCAAAGAATTCAAGCAGATCAAACCATTGCCATGTTCTCTAGCAGAGTTTAAGACAGGTCCAACTGTGGCAAGTAAACATCTTTTTTTCATAAAAAAGAAAATAAATAAAAGGTTTCTATAGATAAAATTTAGCATTAATTTGCCACAGAAAAGAGTTTTGAATACCTAGGAGTTTTGAATTTGAAAACTTTACATTGCTACATACCTTCAGGAGGTATTAATAGACCCTGATAATGAGCAGTAAAGGTAAAAAATTCTTTCCGATAACATAAAAATGCAGGTCATCTTTTAGTTCTGATGGTGTTTCTTATTGAATACTAAAAAAAACACTATCTAATCTTGAATATGCGAGATTTTTACTGTAAAATAAAAAACCAACCAATAAACAAAAATATAGTCCCACTAACTTCAGAATTCTCTCATGAATCCCTGCCAGTGATTGGTACAATTATTGATATATAATTGATACCTTGTTAACCATTGGGATTGTTAAATGACTAACTAAACTTGGCATTGATAAATAACATTTCAGGAGTTGGTGATAAGCTCCCCCATCTGTCTTATTTTAAGGGTTTTAGATTTACTAGCTCTCCTCTTGGTTAGACAAGGTTCCTCAGGCAAGGATCCCTGAAATTATGCTGTATGGTGCAGAAAAGGAAAACAGGAGTGTACCCCCAGGACCTCCTACTCCCTTTATTATGGATTTAATTTATTTCAGGTACTTTATATGAGTTATGCTTAAGTTGCTAAATATCAAATAACATAAAGGCTCAATTTGATAACACAATTGACTGAAAACATTTGATTTTCTTAGATGTTGCAAAATCAGGAAAAGCTGAAAGCTGAATTTTTTTTGGTGAATGTGATCCACGCTAATAACCAAACAAGATGGATTTGGGATCAATTAACTTCTCTTTTCCCACAATAGCAGTTTTGTCATTGTTGATTTTGTTTCTTTTTCTTTTCTCTTTGGTTTAGAAACATACAGATTTTCTAGGTCATCCTGGAATCATAAATTCTTCAGGATGAGCCCTCTCATCCCTGTCAAACTGCAGTTGTGGAAAAATAAACTTATTGGCCTAAATTTCACTGACTATTACGTCAAATTTCCTTTTAATTTGGCATTTTACCTGATTTGCTTCAGTTTTAGTTAAGTGTAAATTTCAAGCAGGTAATTTAAAAGTATAATTTTTAACTTCAGTTGAAACCCAGAATAAGTAGATTTTGTTTAGCAGTTTGTATATGGAAGGACTAACAAAAAAAATTAGTTATTGGGAAGGCCCCAAATATAAAATGCTTTGAAGTATTATAGCAACTAACTTTGGGCTTAACTTTACTAAACCCTTGGATATTGATTTATTTAATGATGAGCCAATTGCAGGATGTTAAAAAGAATATCTCAGTAACGTCTTCTTCAAATCTCTTATTGAAGGTCGAACCTCTGCTAGCCAGACAACTGTATTATTTTGCTCAACAAAACAGTGGACATTTTCTAAGGGGCTACGATTTACCTGAACACATTAGCAGTCCAGAGGATTATCACAGATCTATTCGCCACTCCTCCATTCAAGAATGAAAAAACGTCAAGACAAGGGATTTTGTTTCATTGTAAATATCTGACTTTGGAAAGAACAGCTGATTGAACCACCCCTTTTTCTTTTGAGGATTTAGGGATTGGAGCTTCAGTTGAACACTTGAGAATCTCAGCAAAAATATGTGTGGAAAATCCGCTCCATCTAATTGACAGATGAGCTTATTCCAAAAAGAAGGATGGTCTTCAGGGTATTCTGTGGACCATCATTGATGATAACTGTGAAAATTAACCAGAGGGTGTGTTTACATTTACTTAAATGCTATCTCTAATTTGATGTGGATTATTTTTCTTGCTTAAAAACTGAGAAAACCTGTGTTTCAGTATTGACCACTAATTAGAGTGATGAAAGCACTTAAGTGTTGTACTATTTCTCAGGGAAGTAAAATATAAATTTGAGGCTACACTGCCCACAAACGAAATGGATTAACATACGTAGGAGATGTTGCTCTTATAGCAAATTCTTGCTTGTAGAAGGAAACAGAATCTTTGACTGAGGCTGGGCCACGATGCCTTCAGTTTTGGGATGACTCATTTCTCCACCTGGCCTGGGTCTTACCCCAGGGTGGGCTTTCAAGCTTTGCCTTTCGCTGCCCCTGTTTGCTTTCTCTCTTTGGGTGTCCCTGGAAACCAGTTGGTAGACTCTGTTGCTATTTTCTTGACCAAAAAGCATTAGGGTTACCCTTGAGTAGTAATTTTTAAAATTTTGATGTAAAATTGATACATAACATTATATGTTTCAGGCGTACAACATTATAATTCAACATCTGTATGCACTACGAAGTGATCACCCCCAAAAGTCTAGCTACCATCTTTCACCACACAATTGAACCCCTTCACCATTTCACAGCCTCCCAACCCTGGTAACCACCAGCCTGCTCTCTGTATCTATGAGTTTGTTTTTGTTTATTTGGTGTTTATTTTTGTTTTCAGATTCCACATATGAATGAAATCATATGGTATTTGCCTTTCTCCACCTTACTTATTTCATTTAGCATAATACCCTCAGGGTCCATCTATGTTGTTGTGAATGGCAAGATTTCATCTTTTTTGAATAATATATATATATACACATATATATGTATGTACACACACACACACACACACACATACACACATATACCGGGGGTGCCAAAAAATATATACATATGACTTGCATTCATCTTTTGTTATTGGTATATAGTATTACAATTTTAATATAGTTTTTTTCTTTCTTAAAGCATATATAAATCTTTTTTGCACCCTCTGTATGTATATCACATCTTCTTTATCCATTCATCCACTGATGGACCTTAGGTTGTTTCTATATCTTGGCTATTATAAATAATACTGCAATGAACATAGGGGTATATATATATCTTTTCAAATTAGTGTTTTTGTATTCTTCAGATAAAATCTCCCAGAAGTAGCCCTATTTTTAAAATTTTGAGGAATCTCCATACTGTTTTCCATAGTGGCTGCACCAATTTGCAATCCTACCAACAGTGCACAAGGGCTCCCTTTTCTCCACATCCTCGCCAACACTTGTTTGTTGATTTACTGATGATAGCCATTCTAACAGGAGTGAGGTAGTATCTCATTGTGGTTTTAATTTGCACTTCTCTGATGATTAGTGATGTTGAACATTTTTCCATATGTCTATTGGCCATCTGTATGTCCTCTTTGGAGAAATGTCTCTGCAGGTCCTCTGCCCATTTTTAAATCAGGTTGCTTGTTTTTGTGTTGTTGAGTTGTATGAATTCTTTTTATATTCTGTATATTAATCCCTTGTCAGATATATGATTTGCAAATATTTTCTCCCATTCAGTAAGTTGCCTTTTTGTATTGATGGTGATTTCTTTCACTGTGCAGAAGTATTTTAGTTTGATGCAGTTCCATTTGTTGAGTTTTGCTTTTGTTTCCCTTGCCTTTGGAGTCAAATCCACTTGAGTACTACATTTTTATCTATCCTACAATCTAGTAATGACTGACTAAGATTTTTTTGTTTATCTTTTTATTTCTCATTCTGTAGAAATTATTGCTAAAACGTTTTTCTTAAAGAAGAAGAAGAAAAAAAGACAGATCAGATCAACAATCCAAGTACTAAAGATACATTTTTGAAGCTCAGTGACATTTCCCCTCTTACCCTGTTTGTTTTGTTTGGCTATCAGTGACTTATCCATGACAACACTAAAGAGAAGGAGCCAGTGCTTTTCGAATTGGTGAACTCTGTTAGGAAAGACGATGACAGGCTTGCACAGGTTGCATAATTGCAGACTCAGTGTGCTGTTTTTGCTTATTTTGTATATTATATGCTTCCTCATGCCAAAAATGGTTTGACAGGGCCTTAAAATTCCTGGGCTTTTTCTAAATACATCTTTTTGTATCATCACTAATATCTCCACTTGCCTAAGTAAACCTGACCACTTACTTGGGTTTTTTGGAAAAGTCCATATTTTTAGACTCTGATGCCAGCATCCCATATTTTTGTCTTACTAAAAAACAATTCCTATTACTTTCAGGCTCAGCAAAAGTGTTGATAGTTCTCAAATATATGCCACTCGTATTCTAGTCTATTTTTTAGTTCATTCAATAAACTGTATCTCTTGCATTAGACAAAGTATAGCGTTTATCCAGTTTAGTAAGCAATGAAACACTGGAATGTCATTTCATTGTTTTCATTTTTAAAAGATGTTTTTAATGATAAAACAATTATATTAACTACAGAAAATGTAAACAGTTGAGAAGGGCAAAAAATAAGGTGCACGCTTCTTCTTCTCAGGCCAACTCCTCCTCCCTAGAAGTGTTCACAAGAAGAGTTTGACTTATTCATCCAACACATTTCACTTTTCTATAAATAGACATAAACTTAAAAACACCTCATGGAATCCTCTTGCACCCGCTTTTATGCAGGGCCCTTTCAGCCTAACAACACACACTTACCTCATTCTTTTCAGAGGCATTGTTGTGGAACCCACCGCACCTGGTCAGTGCTGCTTGGGGCATCTCACTAGGTGCTCAGAACGAGCCCGTTTGGACAGCGGATGGTATTTGTCATGAGCTGCAGTAACTTATACATCTTATAGATGCAAAGTATTTTGGGGTACATTATCCTAAGGGGGAAATGAAGACAAAAAGCCACCACTGTGATGTAGGCCCCAGTGTGTGGCCTTGTTCACTGCAGCATGTTTAGCCAACAGCAGCACCTCAGGGAGGCTCGGTGGCATGTGTTCCAGGCATTGCATTTTCTTAATTCTCCAAGTAGATGCTTGATTTCAATTGTTGTGATCTTCCTTCCTTCCTTCCTTCCTCCCTCCCTCCCTTCCTTTCTTTCTTTTTTTTTTTTTCACCCAGTATGAATCAGCTTTAACACTGGAGTTACATTTTCCGGAAAACGCTGTTGGCTTGGGCCACTTCCGCCCTTTCTCATCATTACACTCAACTATGTTGTCTATTTTAATTTTGAGGGATCCCGAGTGTGGCTAGTGAATGAACTAATTGTGAAATAATCAGAGTGAAGAATCCTGACAGTTGTCTCAGGACTTTGGAAAGGAATGGCCGCGTCATTTCGACTAGCAAACTAGAACAAACTAGTTTGTTCTCAATAAAAAATGCTGTAAAAGAGTTGAGGCACTTGTTAATGCTACAATGCGTTGGATTGCAGGGGACGAATGTTTAGGTTTCACAGGTGCGTTTTATTGCCCTATTTCTTGTTCTTGGATTTGGTAAAGCCATGGGCAGTAATTGCTGTCTTCTGGAACACTAAAGAGAGCCGGGGTGACTGCCTCATTTCAAACCAAAACCTTGGAATCTCCTCAGTTCTGAGCAAAACAGGAGTTCGTCACCCTACAGAGAACCCAGCAAGATTATTGTGTTTGAACTAGGAAGAAGCAATTCCATTGGGAGAGAACATTTAAAATCCTACAGTGGAATGAACAGCACAAAACGTGGTTATCACCTAAGCACAGGTATGCCGAGGTTTAAAGGTGTGCATCGGCTAAGATATGAACAAGGCTTTTTTTCCCCCGAAACTGTATGGGAATCCCAGAACTGGAACAACGCTGGGAGTCTTGGTTCGGGTCTGGCTTCCGTGTGAGAAGCTGAGCAGGGAGCGGCATCTTGAGAGAAGGCTCACTCCTGCACCAGAGAAGGTCCAAAATTATGTGTTTTTAGCATCAGTTATTTCTCAGTAAAAATCCAGACACAGTGCCAACCTCCTTTCATTCCTCTTTGATCACATTTCTCCCCCTTTTCCACAGTTGAATGTTTTTCTGTAGGCAGTGCACTTCTTTAAGGGCTATATTTTTGCTAAATATCTCCCTAAATAGTTTGTAGCTGACAGATGGTAGGACAGACTTAAAGCAACATTTAAACAGATGGGTACATGTTGCATTAGGGCTGCCCGACCCTCTGTGTTGTTTCACAGCCTGCTTTTTCACACTCCTGTCTGTGAGATTGATCCATGTTGATGTAGGTGGATCTCATCCATCCCTCATTAACTTGTTGAATAGCTTGTCACATAAATGCAGTGAAGGTCAATTTTCTTGGTATTTATTTTCACTGCTTTAAGGAAAGCATGTATATAAAGTGTAGCTAAAATGGAGGAGCTATGGAAGAGAGAATGGCCAACAGGCAGTTCCTTTGGAATACACTCATTTTGTTTCAGACTCTTGGAGGTGGAAGACACCTCATAGGTAGTAGGGTTCACTCCTCTGCACCCCTGCTTTAGAGGTGGACAGGACCAGGCAGCTCCCTTGATTCAAAGTAACACTGTGCTTAGATTGTTGCCATTGTGTTGCCGAGCCTCTCAGGCAAGGGTGTCTGGAGAACTAGGTTGATCATTATGTGGGCAATTGTTGTACATAATCGTGTCATGAATTTTGGTATAAATTGCTTTTCAATGAAGATTGATATTTGTGATAATCGTGTTTTAGGTAGTTAATAAATAAAGATGTCTTAAAAATTAATCTGTTATGGGCTATGTGTGTTATTAAACACTCATCTTAATAGCTTTTAAATACTTCCTCCTTCTGTTGCATTTTTTCAGCAAGGCTGCTTTGGCAGCCTGCTTCCTTCCTGGTTTTCATATGCATCCCAAAAATCAGATTTCAAAGTGTTTAGCTTGTTTTATAAAAATACAAAACTGTCCTAGCCTTGGGCAGTTCCTCCAGCCCACGGAAACACATCTGAGGAGAGTAGTGGACATCCTTTCTTTTCTGCCTCCTGTCCCTTAACAGGTCTAGTAGACCCAAGAAAATTGTTGTTAATGTTTCCTTTTATATTCACAGGCCCGTTGATTGTGTCTTGTTGTTAAAGGGAAGGGAGAGGGTGTAGGTTCACCAGCATCTTGAGTGTGAAATGTAGCAGAAAACTGTGTGCAGAACACACTTATAAGATGAAATCTCCTGAGAGATGGAACCTCTGGGGGCCTTTAGTCTGCTGTTAACTTGTCTCTCTGCAGCCAGACCAGGAGGCCTCCTTTCTCAGCCCTTGTTTTGCTCAGTTTCTTATGGGACCTGGCCCTTCAGCCCTATCAGTTTCTTACTAGTCTGTTTGGAACACTAGAGAGACAAGGCTGCAACTTGTGGTTTTAAAATCCTTGCAGCTGAAAATTGCTTGGAGCTGTCAGGAATGTTTGTAGTTTGCAACTAGGAGCCCCAGGATATGAAATTAGAATAATTTTGAATTTGCTAAGGGGTAACCAAATGGGAAAAAATGGGAAAATAAAGTATCATACTGCTTTTCAAGGCTTTGTCTGCTCAGCAAGTATGGATGGACTTGAGTCAGTGTATGCAAGCCAAGTTTTTTTTCAAGTAGTATATCAACTCTTTATATCTAAAAGAGAGTTTCAAAGAGATTTTGAGCCCTTGAACATGTTCTTAAGTAATTTTACACCTCCCTCAGGTGCCAAGGTTTATAAACGTTTCTTTATATAGAGTGGAAATTTGACTGTATTGGGTTCAGTTTCC